CTGGCCGAAGGAGAGCGCTTTATTACGTGTATGTACAGAAAACTGCCTTTTCCAGCTTTGCCATGCGAGCCACAGATTTCGGGCCCAGGACGTGGCCTCCCCGGTGGCAGAGGATCTCATATCTGTCGTCGTTACTGGTCCTGATGGCTTCCCCCAGCATAGCCAGGGCGCCTTTGTCCTCCGAGTTAACCTGCGTGAAGGCGACAGTGGGACAGGTTTTCCTGTGGGCCAGGTGTCCCAACCTGGCCTTCCCCTTGATAACTAGGGAACCCCCATCTTCCGACCCAGGGCAGGCAGGAGGCCAGCCAGCTCCATGGGGTCCACGTGGTGTGCGCTCAGCAGCCGCTGAGCCTTCCTGTTCTCCACCGAGGTGGTGATGGTGACGGTGTTCCCCCCTGCCCCTCTCCCCGGGCACATCCCCTTTGCGGCCGCCGTCCTCTCAGCCCGCCGGCAGCCGCTGCTGCTTTGTCTCTGGCCTGTGCTGTGGGCGCTGGAGCCGCGGAGTTGCTGTTGGCGGTCCAGGGCCTGGGGGAGCTGGTTAATGGCAGGAGGCACTTTCAGCCGCTTGTAGAGGATGGCCCTCCGCCGCTGCAGCCGGCCGGACCGAGCGGGCCATTTGACGAAGCGGGTGAGGTCCCTTTCGGGCGGGATGTCCTGTCCTATGCCCAAATTCTCAGGCCTTTTCTGACGGGCTTGACCACCTTCCTAGCCTTCCGCTTCTTCACGACAGCAGGGGCCGGCGCCGCCTTCTTGCCCGTGGCCTTCTTTCCCTGGGCATCTTGAGCGACTGCAGGAGAGAGTCCACCTGTCTTTCTTTTAAAATTCTTTCTGGGACCAGCAGATGGTGTAATGGCTACATCGCTGGACTCCCATATAGTCGACCATGGTTCAAGTCCTGGACCCGGTGGCTTAAACTCATGCGGGGTGTGTGTGTGCACGCGTGTCCAGGATCCCGAGAGGAGAATGGAGGAGAAGGGATTACGGTGTGGCCATCCCCCCTGGGGGGTGATTTCTCACTTTCTGTCTCTCTGCCTCTCTGTCTTTCTGGTGAGCGCACGTGTCCTAGAGCAAAAACCTCTCCAAAAAATAATTCTTCTCATTTTTGTGCCAGACATGCATACACGTGAGAAAGAGATGGGGGGAGAGAGAACCTCCCCAAGAGGGCCCAGTCACGCTGCCATGTTTCCTTCAATTCTCCCAGCCCTCAGGGTCCTGGGCGTACACGTGTGCTCTTCTGGGGCTCCCTGTGTGTGCGTGGTGTGCCTGATGGTGTCCCGTCGGTCCCTCAGCCTCTGTTCATTTCTCTTCCTCCTCTCGTGCCCTATGCTCCCTGGGTTTGGTCGTTTTAACTGCCCTGTCTTCAAGTCGGCTGGTTCTTCTACTTGTTTAAATCTGCTCTGAATGCTCCAGTGAGTTACTTTTTTCAGTATCATATTTTTTAGCTCTAGAATTTCTTACTTGGTTCCTTATATATTTTTTAGAGGTTTTTGCCTTAAGATTCATGTGCTCACAGGAGAAATAGAAACAGTGAGAGGGAAAACCCGCCAGGGGAGACGGCCATATCACAATCCCTTCTCCTCCATTCTCTTCCTGGGATCTTGGACATGCACACATATGTGTACAGAAAGAGTTAAGCCCCAGGTTCGGTACTCAAACTGCGATCGGCCATGTGAGAGTCCAACGATGGGGCCGCTAGGCCACCTGTTGGCCCCTTTTTGATTCATTTTTTAGTTTTAGTTTTTTGTTACAGGGTGCATGAGAGACAGAGAGAAGGGGACAGTGAGAAATCACCCCCCTGGGGAGACGGCCATGCTGCAATCCCTTTTCCATTCTTAGATTTGGGGGATCCACACACACATGACCAGCCTGTTTTCAAGCCACTGGGGCTAGGACTTGAACTGTGCAGTTGGCCATGTTGGATCTGGCTGCTTAACTTCCACATCACTTGCTGGCTCTCCATTTGATTTCTTTTCAGATTTTATGTTTATTTGTATTCCTTCCCTACATGTGAAAGGACTTTAAAAAGTTAATGGAGGGAACCAGCAGTTAGCGTAATGGCTATGTCGCTGGACTCCCACGTAGTCGACTGTGGTTTGCGTCCAGGACCCGGTGGTTTAAACTCACGCCAGGCGCGTGTGCGTGCGTGCCCAGGATCCCGAGAGGCGAATGGAGGAGAAGGGATTGCGGCGTGACCATCCCCCCTGGGGGGTGATTTCTCGCTTTCTGTCTCTGTCTCTCTGTCTGTCTGGTGAGCGCACGCGCCCTACAGTGAAAATCTCTAAAAAAAAAAAAAAAAAAAGGCAAAAAAAGTTAATGGAGGCGGCCCATAGGTGGCATGGTGGGTAAGCGTGCTAGACTCCTACATGGACGACTGTAGTTCGAGTCCTGGGCCTGGCGCTTGCTTTCCCTCTTTCTTTCTCTCTCTCTCACTGTGCCCCTCTCCCTTCAAATTAAAATAAATAAATAAAGTTAAATAAAATAATTTTTAAAAAAGTGAATGGAGGGAACAGCAGATGGCAGAATGTTACATCTGTGGTCAAGTCCTAGACCCAGCGACGTAAAACTCATACCCCAAGGTCCCAGGAGAAGAATGTAGAAGGAATTGAGGCGTGGCCATGCTCCCTGGGGGATGATTTCTCACTCTATGTCTCTCTGTCTCTCTCTCCGTCTCTCTAGTGAACACATGCACCCTATAGCAAAAATCTCTCTAAAGAAAAAAATTAAAAAGTTGGGCCAGCAGGTGGTGTGGAGGTTAAAGGTGCCGAACTCCCACATGTCTGACCACGGTCCCAGTCCCAGACACGGTGGCTTGCTGTCTCACTTTCTCTCTCTCTTTCTCTGTCTCTCTCCAGTCAAATTGGAAAATAATGATAATAAATAAAAATAAATCATTCTTTTTAAAAATAAGAGTTAATGGAAAATTGAAATTAAATACAAGTTTATTTTGATGCCAAAAATTTAAAAATCCATGCATAGTTTTTTCTTTTTTCTTTCAAATAATTAATTAAATTTATTTATCTTAACTTGACCAGAGAGGGACAGAGTGTGAGAGAGAGAGGGACAAAGAGAAAGCGAGAAGGCAAGTCGCCAGGTCTAGGACTCAAGCGTGGCTGGCCATGCGTGCGTCTGGCGCCCCCGTCACCATGCCGCCAGCCGGCCCAAGGTTTTTCACAATACACGTTTTCTAGGAACCTTTTAAAGACCCTTTGTGCATTATTTTCTGACTTTCTTTAGTTCTATGTGTGTTACCTCCTTCAGCTCTTTAAGCCTATGAAGACAGATTATTTAAAGTCTTTACCTCTATAGTCCTATGTCTGGGCTTCCTCAGGGATGATTTTTGTCAGTCCCGTTCCTTCCTGTGAGTGGACCAGACTTTCCTATACGTGTGTATGGGTCATAATTTTTCTTAAGTTGAGAGCTAGACACTTTGATTACTGTAATACAGTAAGTGAAAATCAGAACCTGCCCCTCCCGGGGTTTGGATACTTGATGAGAACTGCAGTCATCGATCTGCTTAGTGACTTTCATAAAGTACCTTTGCAAAGACCGCGTGTTCTCCATTGAGTGACGTCTCTGTTCTGTCGGGTCTTCAGTCAGTTGGAAATCACACCATCTTCCTTTAAATACCTGGATCTGGTAAGAAAGAAGAGAACAGAAGATTTTCTGTCTCATTAAATCCCCATGAGTGGGCCAGCCCATGGCCTGGCGGTCCCACGTGGCCAGCCGTGGTCGAATCGCAGCCCCAGCAGGTGAGAAATGCGCTAACTACTAGTCCCCACAATCCCTTCTTTACCATCCTCCTCTCGGCACGAGCACATGCACACACACCCAGTATGTTTTGGGCCTCTGGGTCCAGGACTCAAACCAGTACGCTATGGGAGATAGAGGTGCCTTAACCATCTCGCCGCATGCTGGTCTTTCCCTGCTGTTTCGAAGTACTTGGGAAACAGAAAGACTGGGAAGAGAAGGGGTTTTATATTACCCGACGTCTGCTTTCTTCCTCACAGTCCTTTTTGCTCCAGTCCACATCCCTACACAAGCTGCATCCCTTTTAACTAGCTCATTTACTCATTCGGTACTTACTGTCTGCTCCGTGCTGGCTCTGCTGCTGCGTCTGGGGTACAGTGATGGAAAGTACAACAGACCGAAAACTGCACTGCAGCGTGCACTTCAGCACGGGAGCCAGATTCATAAGAGTCGGCAATAGCATGGTGGATAAGAGCACTAAGAGGGCAAGTGGACGTAGACAGTTTATAGGGGTGCTACGCTTAGAGGAATCACGTAGGATGTAAAGAAGGGCCTCGTCGAGGACGTGACATCTGAGTAAAGACAGGAGGAGCCGGAGAGCTGGTCCTGCCCGCCCGAGGAGAGGTGTGCACGGGCCGGGAGCACCGCTTTGAGAAGAGCGCCCGGCGTGCTCTGAGAACGGCAGCCCGGCCTGCGGCACAGATGGGGGAGAAGTAGAGTCGCTAGGAACTGCAGTGCCAAACCTGGCAAGTCATTACAAGGGAGGCTTTGGTTTGAAGTCATTGGAGAGTTTTGAGGTGGAGGATGAGCAAATTTGAATGGGGCGACTTTTATCCCGCGAAGTGGATTGCAGGCCGTTGGGGAGGCCGGCATCTGAGTAGCCCAGTTTGGCCATGGCAAGCTGCAGGTGAAACTGGGGATGTCACACAAGCAAGTGGGTATCAGGTCTCCAGTTAGAGGTACGATTCCAGCTGCAGATGGAGACGACACCGTCGGCGGAAGGGGGGACTCTAAGAGCGAATGTCGCTCAAGAGGAGTGTCAGGCGGCCAGGAGCACTTTGATACAGAGAGGCTGGGGAGAGAGGGGCAAAGAACGCGAAGGGCAGGGCGGAGAAGGGGCTGCTGCAAAGGCAGGAGGAAAGGTCCAGCGATGCTCCGAATGCCTGAGAGGAGGAGTTCTCTCAAGGGCGAAAGAGCAGTTCTTAACGTTTCTGCGTCCGCACGTAACAGTTCCCCATTTCTTTCCTGACCAGGCGTGAGTGCGTCTCTTCAGCCAGAAAGATGTCACTACTCAGGAAGCTACAACTTCTTCTCTGGAAAAACTTCATCTTAAAGGTGGGGACCGTTCTGTGCAAGGGAAATGTAAGTCCTTGGTAGGCATCAAATGGCCAAGTTAAATTGGTTTCTAGTAAATGGGTTAAAGAAAAATTAGACATTCACTTGCAAGGCGCCCTTTTCTGCAAGTGAATCATGTTTCCATAGTAATCCTGTTGAAGATGACAGCAGCTGACTTCCAGCCGTCGGGGTTACAGAAAAGCTAGAAGGAGCTGTTCCTAGCCCACACTCATTCTGCTTTTTCTTTCTTTCTTTCTATTAATTCACTTTTCACCACCACAACACACAAATGAATTCCCATCCAAATACCCTGTGCATTGGCTCAATCCAGCACATCCACATACATGTTCTCAGCAAATAATTTTCCAATTCTTACGTCCTGCATACCTTGCCCTTTGTCTTGCCATCCCTGATTCCCCATCCCCCACCCTCTGCTATGTCCCATCTTCCTCCCCCATTGTCCCTGGCATCCATGGTTGCCCTCCATACCTTCCTCCCCCCCATTCAATTGTTCTG